TATTATTATTATTATGTCAGTAGGTTGTTGCACACGTTTTTGTGTTCATACAAAGTATATATTATTATTATTATTATTGTGTAAATAAAGTTGTTGTTACAATAATAACAACAACAACTTTAATACCAAAATACAACAATAGGAGCAGAATAGAAGCCATAAAAATCCAAATAAAACAGACAGAATAACTAACTCTCACTGATTCTGCACATGAGGTGAATCCTATAACATAAATATATATATATATAACATATATTTACATAATGAGTCTGTGGTCGATAAAGTACAACGATCCATCAATAAACATAATCTCACAGAAAGAGTTCTGTCCCATTAAATGTATTTCTCCTTCATCTGTACACCACACCCTTTCTTTTATACTTTTATTTTGAAGGTGAGTCGAATCAGTGAATATCCGACTTTTTGGTCTGACTTGAAGGTCTCACGGAGCTCTCAGCCCTGATTCAGCACTGCTGCTGCCTTCAGGTGCTGTCAGAAATAATTCAGGTTGTCAGTTGAAGGTAGGTGAAGGAGAGGAAGGTTTTCTCTTCTTCATCTTTATATCTGCTGAACTGGAGGAAACAGGAAAGTGAAGGCCGCTGAAGGAATGAAATGCCCTCAGGTGGCATTCAAGTGTTACAGTGGAGCCTCATTAAGTGTCTGTGTGTCCATTAAACATTAGAAATATTTGAGAAAACTCTTCTAAACCCAGTTAATATCAATGAATGATGTATTATTATTGCTTTATGTTTGAAGGTTAATAAGGATGCGTTTCTACCGCCTCGTTTCATTGAATTCAAGGGGAATCTGAAGGAGCCCCGAGAGGCCCCTGGCTGTGGTCCTTATGTGTCAGTTGTTTAGTGGTAATATTAAAGCACACTAACATCTGAAACAACTACGCTTTATTCCCGGGCCCCTGTTTCATATTCCTGAATAAATCTGCGTTCATCCATAAATCACCACTAACAGGTGATAAAAAACGAGGCCCAGAGCTCGTTTTTACCCAGCGGAGGTAGAGTCTCAGAACATTATCTCAGTGAATTACTCTTAAAGCTAATTTATGCTCATTTTAAATTACCGCGGAGCAAACCCGAGGCCATGTAATATTCCCACCATGGAAACACTGCGCAAAATACAGAGGGCCCGGGAGCTCACTGCTGAGGACACCTGGTCCTCACAATGATAGAAACACAAACTCACAACCTGCAAACACCCACAGGGCCACCAACAGCAAGTGTGTGTGTGTGTCTGTGTGTGTGTGTGTTACCTCCTGACACCAATATCCAGAGGCAGTCAAAGTGGGTCAGAGTGTGATTCATCACAATATTCCAGCAGGAGGAAGGAAACCGGCGCTCAGAGCGATTTTTATCAGACTGCAGGCGAAACAGTGAACACAACAACACGTCGGATCATAATAATGCAGCATCATATGAAACTAGATGATCTAACACATCCATCTATATATATATGTATATATATATATATACATATATATCCAAATAACGCGCCAAAGTTTTGATGATGGAGAAATTGGCATGGTCATTTTCAAAGGGATCCCTCCGACCTCTGACCTCCAGATATCTGAATGAAAATGGGTTTATGGGAACCAACAAGTCTCCTCTTTGCAGACCTGCCCACTTTATGTTAATCCTAAGCAGTTTTTAGCATGTGGTGTAATGTAAATGTGGTTATTTTCACACTGCACTATATGATTTATCATCTAGAGTAACACAATTGAGTGTTCACACTGACGTAACATTGCAACACAATCCGACCTGTATCTGATCTGAGGTCACTTTAATGTGAATGTCGGCAGTTAAAGAGACAGGATTAACGTTATGTGTTTTTAACATCCATATTGAGACTAAATCATCCTTCTGTCACCTTGAGAATATATAAAGGATCAAAGGTCAAACCTTCTCCAGAGAGCGATCACATCAGTCCAGTCGGTCCATAAAACACTTTTAGGTCCAAAGTCTGATTCTGATCTGTGTTAATCTGATCTGTTAGTGTTTCACTATGTTCACAGTGCTGAGCTCAGATTTAAAGAACAGTGTTTTTCATGTTGCTTCATCAGATTCACTCACAGGAAATCCAACAGGTTCACATTTAAATCCAACAGGACACTGGTTCCCAAACTTTTCTTCCATTCAGTAAACACAAGTGACATATTTTATGGATATTTAATGTTATATTAAAATGTACAATGAACTCAAACAGTGAACTCAGTAACTGCAGGACGTTTATGTAA